AATTTGTTTTCTTTACTAAATTACATGTCATCCGTCACTACATGTGTGACGGTCCAGTCATGTGTTTTAGTAAAACATCTGGCCAAATTGATTAATTTTTTTTTAGAAAGTTTTAACAGTAGCCTTTTGACTTGTCAGATGATTCCAATTTAAATATCTGCTGTGAAAGGGGTTTGGTTTATTTATTCCACTTCTGTGTTTTTCTCAGCCCCAGAAAGTGGCGGCGTCTTTTCCAGCGTGACTTCTTTTTTTATTGTCTCTGTGATGATCTTTTCAGAGACCACAGCATTCTCTGAGTTCTTCATCAAGGAGGGCACTAGGCAGGGGCTCCTGATCCTTGCTCGGTTCAGGCTCAGGCTGTTCACAGCTGCAGAGTTTCTCAGCTTCAAGCTGGGTGGAGAGCTGCAGAGTGAGTGAGGTTTCAAGCTTGAGCTCATCTCTCAGCTCCTGCAGCTCTCTCTGATAGAGCAAGGCCTTATGATCAGCTTCTTTCTGCATTCTAAGGACCTCTTCTGCCATCTCTTTACGAAGGCTGTCGTTCTCAGTCCTCAAGGTGTCGATCAGCTGTTGACCTTGCTCCGCCATGTCTGCATGAGTGAGCTTTTCATTTTCTAGCTCATGCTGAAGGGCGACTTTCTCCATCTTCAGGGTGTCGATCAGGTAGATATATTGCTCCACCATGTTGGCGTGAGACTTGTTTTCATCCTCACACTCAGGCTGAAGGCTTTCAACCTGCTGCCTGAGTGTGAGGGTATCGTTTTCATATCTTACGCTGAGCTCATGGTGTGAAGCTCTGAGCTTCTCCAGTTCTTCTTGGAGAGTCTTGTTCTTGTTCCTCTCCACATTGAGCTCACCCATAAACCTCTTCTGGGTTGTCATGTGTGCTTCTTGCAGCTCCTCGTAATCTTTTTGAAGATCTTTTTTCTTCATCCTCTTGATATCATTGCCAGACTGAGTGGCAGTGTTTGAGGCACTGAGAGCTTCTGCATCACTGTACTCCCTCTGCCTCTCAAGCTCCTTTGTGGTTTCTTTTTCCTTAATGATAAAGGTGTCAGTCTTGACTTTCAGGAAATACATCATGTGCTGTCGACCTGTACTGTTTTACATTCTCAGTTTGCACATGCATAATTGCACATTGACTGTTGACTGCTGCACATGCTGCTCCCATGCAGCATACATTCTCTATTATATTCTTATATATTTTTATTATACTGCTGCTTAAAGTGCCTTAGATTTTGTGTTACTTATTTATCTACTTTATATTTTATTTGTATTTTGTGGCATTCATGTGGACGGCAAAGTAAGAATTTCATTGTACAGGGAAACACATTTCCTAACTGTGCATATGACAAATAAACACTTTGACCATTTTTCCTAGAGTTGACATAAGAAGGAACTGAGACTATACTCAGGCAGGAAAGTAAAACTCTTTATCCTCTTGATATCATTGCCAAACTGAATGGCAATGTTTGAAGCACTGAGAGCTTCTGCATTACTGTACTGCCTCAGCCTCTCAAGCTCCTTTGTGGTTTCTTTTTCCTTGATGATAAAGGAGTTAATCTTGGCTTTCTGGTTAGCCAGCTGTTGCTTTGTCTCCCTCAGCTTTTGGTTAAGTTGGATCCTCAAGTTTTGTTCATAGTTCAAGTTCTCTCTGCCCCTGCTCAGCATCCCCTGAAGCCTCTCGATTTCTTCATGAAGTGTTTCGCAGGTCATGTCAGAGTGGTCTCTGGGAGATGGCTGTCGTTTGGGTCTCCGTTTTTGATTGTTGTTGGTAGAACTTGCCATTTTTTTAACTGGTAGTCAGTTAAATGTGGTACAATCAGACCTCCATGCAGAACTGTGTGGGAGCCCCTGTTAATGTTGGGTATCTGCTAGGGCAGACTATTTACACCATTATTACTGTAATTCTTATTTTTAAAATAGATGTAGGCTGTTTTGGGGCTTATACATTTTAAACTGGCGAAATGGAAGAGGAAGCGATTGCATATGTCAGAGGAAACTCGAAAAAATTGGCAATGAAACTGAAGCTAAATAGAATTCAACCATGATTGTTTTACTGTTTACACCTGTGCTTTTCCTACTGTGACATGTGAGAATGTGTCCTGTGAAAAGGTTTATTATGTTACATGCTTGTTTGAGCAGTGGTCCACTGCCTGTGCACGAATAATGTTAATGCATGAGACAAATGTTTTAGAAAAGAGGAAAACATCTTCTCAAGCCTTCATTTGGTGTGTCAAATATTATGTTTGGTGTTACAAATTAAATGAAATGTCTATTTCACTATTAAATAGCCACTGAGTGTTAGTGTGATGTTTTAATATGAATTATTTAATTGTATATGACTTCAAACATGTAGTCTTAAACACAGAATAAGCAGAATATATAAGTATGTAACACTCATTGCTTGCAAGTGGCACAACTGATAATCTGAAGCAAGAAAATTAAGCACTTAAGTATCAGAGCAACGTTTCAAACTGAAAAATAGTCAGAGGACAGTGGGCTAGAAGAAACTTGCAGAGTAGGAAATAATTCAGGGAATTCTAACTTTATTAGGATTTATGTTCTTTCACTTTGGTCACCACACATCATTGATGGGAAACAGTCTCATTTCACACAACCACCCCTGATTTGTTTCTGCAAGTTTGAAAAGACAACTATAGTTGAGAAGCAGAACTCACGTGCTGCAGGTGGTATGCATGATTTGGTTCTTTGGTACAGTGCCTTGCGAAAGTATTCGGCCCCCTTGAACTTTGCGACCTTGTGCCACATTTCAGGCTTCAAACATAAAGATATAAAACTGTAATTTTTTGTGAAGAATCAACAACAAGTGGGACACAATCATGAAGTGGAACGAAATTTATTGGATATTTCAAACTTTTTTAACAAATAAAAAACTGAGCTTTTCTTCAGCAGGGACAGGGAAGATGGTTAAAATTGATGGGAAGATGGATGGAGCCAAATACAGGACCATTCTGGAAGGAAACCTGATGGTGTCTGCAAAAGACCTGAGACTGGGACGGAGATTTGTCTTCCAACAAGACAATGATCCAAAACATAAAGCAAAATCTACATTGGAATGGTTCACAAATAAACATATCCAGGTGTTAGAATGGCCAAGTCAAAGTCCAGACCTGAATCCAATCGAGAATCTGTGGGAAGAACTGAAAACTGCTGTTCACAAACGCTCTCTATCCAACCTCACTGAGCTCGAGCTGTTTTGCAAGGCGGAATGGGCAAAAATTTCAGTCTCTTGATGTGCAAAACTGATAGAGACATACCCCAAGTGACTTACAGCTGTAATCGCAGCAAAAGGTGGCGCTACAAAGTATTAACTTAAGGGGGCTGAATAATTTTGCACGGCCAATTTTTCAGTTTTTTATTTGTTAAAAACGTTTGAAATATCCAATAAATTTCGTTCCACTTCATGATTGTGTCCCACTTGTTGTTGATTCTTCACAAAAAATTACAGTTTTATATCTTTATGTTTGAAGCCTGAAATGTGGCAAAAGGTCGCAAAGTTCAAGGGGGCCGAATACTTTTGCAAGGCACTGTATTTCTACACTTTCAATGAAATTTAGCTATTACAGCTGCTAAACAAATGCATGCTCCAGAGAAGAATGTTTCCATTTAGTTTTCTAACATGCAAACATTAAGCAGTGGTGGCAATTTTTAAAAAAAATATATATATAATTAAAAGCACTCAGTTGTCAGATGAAACTGGACAAAATTCTTAAAGATTACAACTTTAAGAACACCAGTATTAAGAAAAAAATTACCTGGTTAGAAAGAGATTTGTACTGCAACTACATACTAGAACCTTTTCTGATCCATGGCTATGTCAGCCAAAGAATTTTCTACAATGTTTTATGCCATTTTTAAAGGGGAAGTATTTTTAATGTACCATATTAAATAATACTACTAACCTTAAAATATAGATACTCAGAAACTAAATTTCTTTGCGCCGAATATGCTGCTGTAGAAAACACAGTACAGTATATATCTATTATATGCAAGATTTAGGTAAATAATGCTAATTAGCAGAGCAACATACACATCGTACGAGGTAACTGACACGTCACAGAGGTGAGTAGTGATAGTAGTAGTAGTAGTAGTAGTAGTAGTAGTAGTAGTAGTCATCTTCAGTTTTGCACACTCATTAACCACCACACAGAAACACCACCACACCTTGAGGCAAACTGAGCTCCGTTCTCACAGCTGTCTCTCTTGATCAAGCTGGCCCATCAGCGCTGCTCTATATTTACCTTCATCCTGGCTTACATGCATGAGAGAGGAGGAGGAGGGGGAGGACTAGATGAACAAGGGTTAGCAGCTCAGGGACACTTTGATTAAACACCAGCCTGGGAGGGGTCAGAGGCTGAGTCGGGACCCCAGGATGATTCTCTCTCCCCTGGCTATTGTAAACATTCTCTCCACTGGACACTGGGAGAGCTGTTAAGCTGGCAACTAGGTACCAAACAGCTCTGTGTCACATGAGAGGTCTGTCTGGAGTCACAGCGGCCTGGGATACTATTCTTAGCTGCAGAAATGTACACAGTGGCCTCATGGCGAGCTCCACAGTGCCTAACTGGAAAACCTCGTCATTTCTCCTTGTCATTCTCCTTTTCTTTTCCAGACTACACTACCCACTTTCTCTCTGGACAATGTTTTGGACCTTTTGTGGTTGGAATTGATTTTTTTTTTTATTATTATTATTCATAGCAGGCTGAAAAGACATTTTGGATATTGTTGATTCTGACGGCAGGAGGTAAGGAATCATTAAACCCGTGTGTTTGACAAAATATTTTGCATAACAGGACTCCTTTTTGTAATTTGTCAAGTGATAGCAATTTAATAAGTAATTTATAAATTTATGAATATTTAGATTTGAATTCTTTTTCAGGTTTAAGAGAGCCCTGTCACTGTAAGACAACTGAAGTCAGTGTGCCACTGTTTTTTTAAAGATCATCACTGGATTTACAGTAGATGGTATAACACAATTTAGCTTTTGCAGTTAGACACAATGTTGTACATAAGTAATGTACAATACTATTACTGTTGACTAACTAGATAGTATCCAAGTTGTTTAAATATAATTCATACATCAGTGTCAGACTCTATTTTTAAAAGTCTTGTGTAAGTTTTCATTAAAAAAGTTCTGGATCTGTACCAGCAGATCTAGTTTAGGATCTAAGAGAAACTCACAGGACTCACACAGTCACAGGCTTTTCATAATACACAATAATGATTACAGGCTTAAATATATAAGACAGGCTGGTCCTGGTAAGTGGGAGTGAATCAATAGCTGTCACAAGGGTGATTAGAAGACTTAGTTTTTTTAGGCCATTGAAATTCCTGCTCTATAAATGGAAGGATCATCACAAACTCTCCAACCAGGGGGGGAGAGACTGAGACAAGGTATACAGTTAAAAAAACAACACAAGCAAGAAAAGAAGAGAAAGACCCAGAAGAAGACATTTAGAGTGATGGAGAGACACGCATAGATGATGTGTTGACAGCTCTGATAATGTTAACACTGATGGCTGGCCTAATGCTACATGGACACAGCAAGATAATTTAGAAGGGGGGTTAAAATGGAAATCTGAGGGTCAGTAATTCACATTAAGGACAGCTGGTCTACAGTAATTTTAAGAGTTTATGTGCAAGCTGAGAAATGGTTTGCTATCAAAAGAATCTGTGTGGTTGGTCTGAGGGCAACGGTGCAAACCAAGCTAAAATCATCTGGTAATATCCAAGTCAGAGATCATCACTGTAGTTCAATAGGGCACATTATATCATTATCAGTACCTGGCTTCTTTCTCGTGGACAATAGAAGTGTAATACTCCTGTCATGGAGGGATTCCTCCTCTTTTTACCTTTCTCTCTGTTTCTTTTCAACACAGAATGGCCTGTAAACCACAAGATGTTTTCTCTTTCAAAGACTGTGAACTTCCCTCCCACCTACTTGCTCGGCTCAATGTCCTCCGGCAGGAGCGTATTCTGACAGATGTCTTGCTCTGCACAGCGCACCAGGAGATCCCCTGCCACAGGAATGTCTTGGTGTCCAGCAGCCCGTACTTCCGTGCCATGTTCTGCAGCAACTTTCTGGAGAGCAGCCAGACCCGTGTGAACCTAAAGGGAATCTCCTCAAATATCCTCAGTGGCATTGTGGACTATGTTTACACAGGCTGCATCACTATCACCATGGAGATTGTGCTCCCACTCATGCAGGCAGCATCCATGCTCCACTATGGAGGTCTCTTTGAGGCCTGCTCATTGTTTCTTCAGGGGCAGCTGAGCCCAGAAAATTGCCTGAGCATGATACGACTCTCTGAGATCCTTCACTGTGAGAGTCTGAGGGAGAAAGCAAAAGAAATGGCTGTGAGGTGTTTTTCTGACGTTGCTGCCACAGAGGATTTCTGTGAGCTGTCTCTTCCTGAGCTCATGTGTTACTTAGAGGATGACCGGCTTTGTGCTGAAGAGGAGCAAGTGTTTGAGACCCTCCTGGCATGGATCCACCATGACCCATTCTCACGACGTGGTGCAATCCATGATCTCTTCAAGAAAGTCCGTCTTCGCTACATCCATCCAACATACCTTTTCCAGTTTATTGCCAACGACCCACTGGTGCAGTCCTCCACCCTCTGTACTGAGATAATCGAATCAGTACGCCGTCTCATGCTTACTGTCAGCACCAAGTGTAGCCGTGAGCTCAAGCCACTTTGGACCACACCGAGACGTTACACCTGCAGAGAAACATTGGTGGTGGTTGGAGGACGCAAAAACAATGAGCAGACGTCACGAGAAGCCCTACTATATGATGAAAGGACTCAGCGTTGGCAGTGGCTAGCCAAGCTCCCTCTACGCCTCTACAAAGCCACATACGTGTGCATTCACAGCATCCTATATGTTCTCGGTGGGCTCAACCTTTGCATGACATCAGGCGAAAGCTCAGTCAGTGCCACAGTTTACACGCTCTCACTTAAGACCAACCAGTGGAGGACTGCTGAGCCCATGCTGGAGCCACGATACGCCCACCAGAGTGTGTCCTATCTGCACTTTATTTTTGTGTTAGGAGGCATTGGGGTAGACAAGCGAATCTCTAAGTCAGTAGAGAGATATAACAGCATGTTTAATCAATGGGAGGCCATGGCACCAATGCCCACAGCAGTGCTGCATCCAGCAGTTGCAGCCAGTGATCAGAAGATCTATGTTTTTGGAGGAGAGGATGCCATGCAGAATCCTGTCAGGCTGATTCAGGTAGAGAAGACTTCCCATACTGGCATCACTGGATCAACACTCAAGTTCCAGTGCTTATTTTCATTCAAATACAGCCATGGCTTTTAACTGATTTAATTTGCAGTCAGTGCTGTAGATGAGTTACTAAACCTCGGGTTTGAGTCATCAAGCTCTATAGTCCACACGTTTGATATAGTTCTCACCATTTTATAGTAGATCCCAAACAGTGTATTGCATCACTGTATTGCTCAGCAATTCGATACATAAAAATAATTTATAGAAAGGCAGTGTCTGTGCTTCAATGGAAGTGTGCCTGGTACAGCACAGTGAAGGTGAACAGGTTTTAATATCTGAGGCCAAAATATTATGGCCTATTACAAAAAAACAAAAGCAAAAAGTCAGTCGTCATCTCCAACTTCCAGGTCAAAATACAGTCAATGCTTGAGTCCAAGTCTGACTCATCAGTGCTTGAGTCCAAGTCAAGTCACAAGTCCTGAAAATCAGAACTCAAGTCGGACTCAGGGAGTCCTGGACTTGAGTACTACAACACCTTTCGTAGTATATGCATGTAGAAAGTTACAAATAAAATTTCACACAAGCATATGGTGAATTTAAGCCTTCGATGCAGTAGGAAACAGATATTTATGTTGTGTCAACAGGTGTATCATATCTCTCGCAACTTGTGGTCTAAGCTAGAGACAAGGACTGTGAAAAATGTTTGTGCCCCTGCTGCCATCATAGAGGACAAGATCTACATTGTAGGAGGTGAGTTCAAACACCTATGTTGTTTGACATTAAAAATGATGTCCATCATCATTATAGTGGATTCAATAGTTTTCCTATTGTCAGCAACAGAAAGACAACAAAGAACAAAGTATTAGTCTATTTCTCAGAACTTTCTGGTCTCTCTGTGGGGCTCAGCTCAACATGCAAATCTTTTAAAAATGGGTTTGATACAGGCTAGATAAAACAGATTTTCTTTGAAAGAGATATGCAATTTCCTACAACATTGGGGCACTATAGTTTTCAGCATGTGTCACTAATACAAAAGTATGCAGTGCATTTGTTGGGGACAGTTGTCAGCTGCAGATTAATACACATTTGGTGCTTTAGTGAGTGTTTCCAGCAGCAGTACAGTGATTCAGAATAAACTACAGTGCCCATTTTCATCAAAAGGACAGAGCATGTCATGCAGTACAATGCTGTGGCTCACTGATATTACCCTGTGTCACAGATCACCGTTCTTGTTTAAAAAAAATAAGACCTTATCAGGCTGTGTATACTAACACAACACTTGTTAATAAGATCAACTTAGTTTTGGTCTTTTCAAAGGATTTGTTGAACATTTAAAAATATAATGAAAATTTTATTTCCAGGGTACACCAGGCGAATGATAGCTTATGACACCAAAGCCAACAAATTTGTCAAGTGTGAGAATCTAAAGGAGCGACGGATGCATCACAGCGCCACAGTGATTAACAACAAGCTCTATGTCACTGGTGGACGCATCCTCAATGGCCACGATGTCATCGAGGACTCGGACTGCTTTGAGTGTTACGATCCGAAGACAGACGTGTGGACCTCAAAAGGTTCTTTACCATACAAGTTATTTGACCATGGCTCTCTGCCGCTAGTCTGTGTTTCCAACAGACCCAACCTGCCATGACCTTAGGAACTTGTGGCAAATGCATTTCTGCATATTCTACAACTCCTTTTTGCCATGATTTATTGGCTTCTAACTATACAAATGGGGAACCATGTAAAACTGACTGCATTCCGTCACGAAGTTCAGTCTTTGTCACAATTTGGCAGCACGTTAGGCCATGCTGAATTAAAGGAGAGCTCAGCTGATGTGTAGAGGGGCCTTTTGCTAAGGCACCGGCAGGTGGAAAGGAATTGACAACCCCAGAGACGAGTCATCCTTACACAACAAGCAGCTGCTTAGACACATATGCAATCTAAAAAGCTTTTTCCACAGATGGCTGGGTTGTTTCATGTTAACTAAATGTGTTAATGCTATAATTTCCTTGACATTTATTCACAGCATATCACTCTGTCTGGCAGCTGCAGATCACTTTTCTCTAACAAATATGCAGGGAATTAATTACATGTCAGGCTGCTTGTTAATCTGTGAGGTCTGCTTGTCTTGTAAAACTAAAATGGACAAATCAGACCGCTCATACATTTGCACTTTATAGAAAAACATTCCTCCTCAACCCACATGATGTCAGAGTGCACTTGGCCATGAGAACAACTGTGACAGAACATGGACAAGCTCCCATAGAAAAGTATTCCTTTGTGTTTACTGAAATGTTTCTAAGAAGAAAAGCAATTAACTGAGCAATTAACATGATGTTTTAGATTAGTCGTAGTGTCTTACTACAACTGCTGGTCACTGCTGTCTTTCTGGAGCCCACAGCACCTGGCCCTGGTGATGACGGCAGTTATCAGCCATTAAGATCATCTGTTGCATTCATCCCTGTAGTGAGTCTGTCTGTTTAAGACTGCATGATGCACAATACAGTATGTTGCTGTTATTTCCATAATAGAGAGAGGTTTCTTTATCTGACATTTCTTATTGTTCAATGTGCTTATATTTTGGATATTGTGTTGGTTTTTAAAGGAACACTTTTATGTATGAACTGTATTATGAATGGAATATGAATCTATCCATGCCTAAAAACAACCAACAGAATCTGTGTTTGACAACGGTGCAAACCTTGTCTGTTTTTTTTTAACTGTGTGCAGATTTAAATGGTTATGTGTCTGCAGACTGGCTGAGTCATGTTCCCTTCATACACAAGAGGAACACACTTTGGAAACAGATGTGGGAACAGATGCAGAAACAAGTTCAGTGGCTATCGGGTGACACATTACCAGTGCAGCATCCAAAAAAAAAAAAGAAAGGAAAAACTACATTATATTTAACTTTGATGTAACATTATCGGAATTGTAATGGGTTAGAACTGTTTATCTTACATGAAATGCTTTATGTTACACTGTGAATGATGTGCCAGCCTTTTGACCCTTTAGGTCATATTTTCTTTACACAGACTGTCTTGTATGAGGAACTCCAAATATCTAGTTTCCAGTTTCCCCTCAGAGAGGTTCCCTGATTTTATGGTATGGCTTACTTGTATGAAACCCTTTGATGAAGTTGCCCATAGGGGAAAAGATGTGGGATCACATTTCACTCTTGCATTTTAATCCCTGCCCATTAGTAGGGAAACACTGAAACCTGCCTGGGACATCAACCAAAACGGAATTTCAGCTCCACATTAGCAAGCTCAGACTATGACCGAGTTAAATGCCTCTATGTTAGCCTGGTCGCTCTGAATGCCTCACAGTAATCCTCTTGTATATGTGTCATTGTGTGGGTTTAACATGTGATGCTTAATCAAATCCTTATCAAGACATGAATACTATATAGAGACACACTTTAAAAGTGACATTGACTATTTTATTTTAACAATATCAAGACAAACTGTGACCATTCTGAATTATTTGCCTTCAGCTGAGTCACATGTTCTGCTCAGTTAGCCAAAACAGCATTTAAAAGCAACACCCTATGAAATCATTTGTTGAGCTGCTGCCAGATACACAGCCTATTATCTATAGACTGCATGTTTGCTTGCTGCCTTTCCATAGAAACAAGGCTTTGTGAGGGTCACCCTTCAGGATGGCAGGTTATTTTCAGTGTCTGTTACTAACTCATCAAGGGATAGCATTTCATTGCTAGCTAATGTTGGGTGTGAGGTTATTCATACACAGTTGTGGTTAAGTGAAGTGTAGGCAAAGCAACTTAGACATATAGGTAAGGTGCATTAGCCAATATTCACCAGTTTAAACCTTATTCCACTGTATATAACTGCTCAGCTCTGTAATGAAAAATATAACATGAAATCAATCACTGAGAACCTATTTCTCTTATGTCTCCTCAGGATTTTTAGTTCATAGCCTCAGATCTCAATAACGGTAGGAATGAGAGTTTCTGTTGCTTGAAAGTGCCACAATGTCCCGGCACACACACTTGTAGTAGCTTTAAGTACTAAATGAGGGGTTTCCCTGTCAGTCATGTGACAGAGCCTTTTGCCAGTCTAACATTACCTGCCTGTGTTAATGTGATGGACAAGGCAATTAAGGTTTACAGTGAAACAGCCAGGGATGGTTTAGACATGTTAGGAAATTATGTGATATATTTTACACAAGTTTACAAAGATCACTTACATTGCCCACTATAGCTTTGTGCTAGCTGAATATTTGCAACCTTTTAATAATGCTAAAATTCTTGTACAATGAAACTTAATACTTCCAAAGAAAGTTGTTAAAGCCAAATGCAATAGCACTTAGGGAAACATTCAACATGACCAGTTTTTTTTTTTTTTTTACACTAGTTAAAACAAAAATCTAAATAAACCAAGTGACTTAAGGAAACTCTTGTAAATGTCTTCAGGTAGCCTATCTGAAGTATTAAAATTTAATGTACTTTCACTGTAACTATTATTGCTGGTCAAATGCAAAGACAGTGCTTGTGTGACATTTGTTACTAATAAATTCCAAATGTGGACAATTAATACAACTTGAAATTGCACCAATACCCATCTTCCACCACCTGAGGTCACTGCGGGGTGATGCTGGGCCAACAGGAAGTTTTCCTCTCACTGCATCTTGATTGCCCTCTGCTGTCTAACTTATGTGCCCTGTAATACTGCACATTCGTGAAACAAAATTTAACACCGAACTTGAAATTCTGTAATGGAGTAAGTGAGTCAATCATAAGAATCATGATAATCTTTTATTACAATTTCTTTGATAAAACATGTCATAGTACAGCATGCACACACAAGCCTAAACAAAACTGGTCAGATGTATTTTAAATGGAACAAGGTTTTGTAATTTAGCAGGCTGGTTAGGCTTTGTGTTCATAACGGGTGTCCCAAAACACTATAGGAACATAAAGAGACTGTTTTGAGAGGGATAAAATGTTCATAACTCATATTCATTAACAAGTATACACTTAAAAATACCCACATTCAACTCAGTGGAGTGTTTTCTTCTGTTTTTACCATTATTCCTTACAAACATCTTTTAGCCATTCACACACACTTTCATTCACAAGGAACCCTGGAAAATGGAACTACATACCCCCAAAAGGTCAAAAAGACTTAATGAAGACACAAACCCAACATAAACAATAAAAGTGCTGTTTGCAATTTAGGAGTATCTTAACACTGAAAAGTTTAAAACTATACAACAGAAATAAAAGTTTATTACATTAACAAACATAACACTAATAATAAAGGTTTCAGGGAAGAATTTTAAGTTAAACTCCAGAGGCAGAAATCCTAAAGCATTGTAAAATTAGTTATTTATATTAAATTTAAACAATTTCGATATACGGCATATGCACATTCATGACCCCAAAACTGAGCTTATGTTGCCCATCTTGGAACACAGGACAACTTACATTTAAATGTCTCCCATATACATACCGTTTGTACAACAGGTCCATAGTTTCAAAGGCATTCCAAGAACTAAATGACATTTTGGCACCAGGTACAGAATACGTTACATTATACCCAAAGAAATAATACTACAGTCACCGTTCAATGCGTTGTCCCAACAACATGAGATCATAGTAAATATGGATTTCAGCTGGCTAAAAATGTAAAATTTGGCATAATTGTTGCTGGAAGAATAAGAGGGGACAGAGGACTGGCAGACCTAGCCCAGCAGACCTGACAGTTCTTCCTGAGTGCTAGAAGTAAACAGAAACTAGAAAAGTTGTTCATAGCTAAGATTAGGGTTGGGTTTTTCTTACTATGTACATATCACCTCAACTTTGGGCTTTCTGCATCATCTATTCCTCCTCTTAGGTCAGATATACATTCTCTTACCTAACAGCAGTGACATCAGCAGCTCACTTTTATCCACTGTGTCCTAAGTTATCATGGCTCTCCATTGCTACCTGGCAGCTACTGCAGAGACCTGACCAATCATAGCATGCCAATGTTACCTGAGAGGGGATACGGTTTAAGAGCCTTTACTAACGTCAGAGTGGGATGGCCTGGCTTCATAGTCACTTCTGATGCTTGGATAATCAGCATTTACATATAAGCAGTGAGCCAGTCCTTGACAATACTAGACTAAGAGGGGATTTTTTTTTTTTTTTTTTTTCCCCCCCATTACAAGAATAAGCTCTGCTGAACTAAAGTGCACAGGGTGGTCCTACTTTCTAGACCTCATTGATTGTGCGCTCTGATGGACTAAAGTTGATTGATTTAGGCGAGGACATGTAGAAGGATTTGGTTTTACGATTGAGACGGGCACACTTGGAGGCGACAGACAGGCTGCGCCTGCTAGAGAAGATAATCTCTGTGATGAACTTTTTGCAGTCCAAACAGACCTCCATTGTTACCCAGTCCTCAGTTAGCTCCTTGGGCAGCTCTAGCTCATCCTGTGAGGACCCATCTTTGATGCTAGTACTGCGGTGACTGGACAATCTGAGGACAGACAGAAATGATGAATAATTGACTAGACAAAGCATGACACCTAGTTTGTTCAGCGTATTATAAGACCTGATAATTCTATGGCAACGTACTTGGAAACACTTCTGCGAAGGCTGTGCCGGCTGTGTCCAGACCCAAACGGGTCTTTTTCTGCTTCAGCAGCTACACTTGACTCTTCTTTAGCCATAGCACTGAGGCCCAAAGAGTAGATGGGCAAGGTGGAATAGGGCTTAGATGGTACCCGCATCTGAGGTGCAAAAGACACCCAAAAGGATGAAAAGTGCTTATCCAGTATTTATAGAACACCTGACAACATGTATGGATCAGCTGGGAATTATACAGAAAGTGTTGTGTTAAAATGCACACATGATGTGACAGTGCTGGTACTCTTGGGCTGAAATTAAAAGCTCATGTCATGCATCCTTCAACAGAACAAAAAGAAGCTGTGAAAAGAGCTGAATTGGCATATTCCACAAAGATCTTTTAAAATGACCTGGACAAAAATGTCAGAAGCCCTCAGAAGAGGTGATAAATAAGTGGATTGGAGTAATATTATCATGCTGTTTGGTATCACCATGTCCACCACACTGAAAATGGTCAAATGAAAGAGAACAGGAACAAAAAGTGATTATGAGAATGTTCTCTGGACAGATGAAACAATGCAAGAGCTCAGTCTTCCCTTTTAGAGGGAAGGGTACCAACACTATTAGCCAGCTCTGTAAGTCAACAACCTCCTACCTTTCTAGAGCACTGGGAACACACGGGTCTGAGGAAGATAAAAATGCATCATAAAGTTAAATATTCTTGATCGGCTGTTCTACTTCAGTTCATGATTCCATGAAAAGTGATTAAATTTACCTTTTGCAGAACTGGCAGGTATACGACCAGGTAAACAAAGAGAATCTCTTGATCCGACATGAAAAGCAAAGCTAGAAAGGAACATAAGAGAATGGCACATGCATTTAATGGATTTGAACAACTGTGATAAATCACACTGATGTAGCTGATTAAGAACAAAACAGCAGATGCTAAAGGTGGCAGCTACCTTTCCTTTCTTGAGAGCATTGTACACATCTTTGTACTGCTGAAATTTTTCCAGCTCAGCCTTGACCAGAACCTGTCTGATGTGCATCACCTCCTCCACCGTCAGAGCCAGACACTGCACTGGGTAGCAGAACTCCTCCTGGAGGAAATGCACACATGAAGTCAACAAAACTCCTCTTACAAACACACACAGTACACAGATGACCCCAAACAATACAACAGCCAGAAGTGATGATGAACAAATGAACAAATCAAAAACACCATCTGAACACCACTTTACCCAAAGACCAAACATGCAATGAGGTGGTGAGGGTGAAGACACGTTCCTCGGCATAAATGTCACTTCCACTGATGACACAAATGCACATTTCTAAATTTGTAAGCGACACATTCTGACATGGCAATATTCTTCTGTGCACTATTTGTGTTTAAGGCACACAAACAGATCAAGTGTTTTCCAAGCAATTTTCCAGGATTTTGTAAGCGGACCCTATCATGCTGCAAGCTGTGTTTTCTTAATATTAGTCTATTACGTCTCAACTTATTAGGTTAGTGTACCCCAAACCAAGCTCTACAGGAAGTGAAAACAGCTCAGAGAATGTGACTACAATCATTTACAATAAAGATTAAAAATAAAAGTCTCTGGTCTAAAAGGTTATTGAAGATTTTGCAACTCTTTTTATGCTTCAACATCTGCTGAGCTGTTTTCAGTACATCACAAATGACCTGTTCACACAGGGGTCATGACACAAGGTCCATCTGAAAACTAGTTTACTGAACTATACAGTGCTCTGGATGAGTCCCCTACACAGTGTTAGTACAGTACTTCTGATGAGACAATTTGATGATATGCATGAACACTGACATACCGTGCCCTGAGCACCACTGGCAGCTTCCACCTGACAGAGGGAACAGGATATTCAAAGAAAAGCAGGCCCTTGTACTCCAACAAGCCAATCACGTATAGTAGCCTGTGCTTCATACAATCTAATACAAGAACTCAGCCTTTTTCTACACATGAACTCTGGACAACAGTCATGGAATCAGATCCAAACTTTGTCTACAGTTGCCCTTTCACAAATGTAGCACACAGCGGGAGATGGTCCATGTCAGACACATTCTCACCTACAGGAGATACTTGCTTTAGCTTATGCAAAGGAGAAGCGCTTGGGTAGAGCCCATAAGAAGCAGGATAAGGTGCAAACACATAGCTGGTTTGTGATAAACAATGAGTCTCTTGCCATTCCTCAAATCTGTCTGACAATTCTGGTGTCAGGTCTTAACAGAAGTTCCCGAATCTCGTTGTGTATCCAGTTGGTTTGTTTTCATTGTAAACAAACATTTTTCTTCACCATCGGATGTTTGCCTTCTTGCAGTTTCGCACTAGTCACATGATAGAATATCACCAACATGCCCACTAGCTTGCTGAATACTCCGGACTATACGCTGCTGCTTTCTCACATGGGCTCACTTGGATTTTACGTGGACTCTGTACTACGGAGCCAGCAGGGTCAAGTCTGCTCAACGTTAACATTTGAGTTCTCACATACAGTGAAAATGTGCTCCACTTTATAACAGCAATACCAACTATAATCTTTTTTTTTTTTTTTTTAAAGCATTTAATATGGTTTTGGAAGAGCCCCATATATCTACATTATAACTGGCACATTATTTTACAAACTCTCTCCCGTGGTTGACTGTTCATCCGACAGCATTGAGTGGCGGAGGGCTCACTGAGGTGGCAGCCTTCATGTCATGCCTGCATTCTTTCTGCTCCATCATAAACACCAAGGATCACAGCTGCTGTCTTAAGTTTCTTTAAAATCTTTGCTCTTCAGTTGTCCTGCTCTGTTCATTTGCCTGCTGTTTTCATACATGAGAACATGCCACAAATAAGAGTTTTAAAAAAATAAAATGACTGTAATAAATAGGATGTTGACCCAGTTACCTTGACACTTGGATCTTCCATCAGCTGCAGCATTATACAAAATGAGAAATGACTGCAAGTAAGTATTTTAGAACTCAGCCAACCAGAGTAAACACTAATAAGATGAGTACCACAAAGAGGGGAACTGTAACACTGTACTATTTTACATCTGCTGGAGAAACAACAACAACAACAACAACAACAACCTATGTGAAAAGCAAAGCACACTTGAGCATGTGCTTGTAATCAAAAAGAGTGATGGGGATTAAAAAAAAAAAAAAAAAGATTCCTTTTACTGTGTGGCTTTTGATTACAAAGATGTGTCAGAGGTTTAATTATTTGCATCTTTAAGAAGCAAGACAGGTTGTTTAAGTGAATCATCAGCATGTCTCCATATACAAGAGTAATGTAGTTAAAAATAATTACATATGAGCAGTGGCATTCAATATCAACTTTCCTCTAGATCACCATAAAGATAGCAATGGTCCCCAATTGTAAGAAAGAAACGCTGTTGAGCAAACTGAAAATATAAAGCTATTGTTCAGAGCTGGCTCCTTCAGAGCTTTAAGCAAATCCTTCAGATTTAATGACCTTCGGCTGATTGAAACTAGGGCCTCTGGGTTTGGCACCAGTATCTGCCATTCCACAAGCAAGTGGTGAGAATTAACCAAGTTAATCCTTTCCTGTGGTTTCAACTACATCTATCAACCTCACTTGAATCACATGACCAGCACAGACTCAAAGAACTAATGACCACATTGCAAATGAATTTAACAGATATAGTGTACGTTTAGTGTTGCTGGCTTTTCAATCACCACGTTTTACTCCCTCAGTATACACAGCTTTGCTTTTGGTTTTATTTGGAATGTTAATATGCCATTTTTGTTTAATCATCTAATAAGTGTATTAACAGATGTAGCAAATTTTGTAATGCAAATCTGCCTATAATGCAATGTTTGTAAAACCAGGAGGAAGGTAAAGATTTGTCAACATCCTTAGAGGCGTTGTTCAATCAATTGTATAAGCCTTGGTAAATAATTCATATGTACATAATATATGGTTTACGTACTAAAGATTTGGTGCTCTGTCTGGATGGAAGTACAGGACAGACACTGGCGGGACTCTCCTTCTCAATAGAGTGCCGTCTCAGTGAAGGCCAACTTTTCTCTGACTTTAGGGTGGTGGAGACGGGCAGGAACTTCGGTGGATCTAAAGGAACATATAGGGGGAGCAGTTCAAGAATGAACAATATGAAGATCTGGCTACTTATCTAAGTTGCTCACACAAAAGGCATGTTTGAAGTGATTCAAAAAGTAGACCAATATGTTCAAGGTAGGGCCTAACCTTTCTTCCCGATAACAGGCTCAGGAGATGTGTCCTCCATCAAAGACGTGGACACACTGGAGCTGCTCCGAGTGGGCTCCTCCTGTCAACCACAAGATTACAAACATTAAATCACAAATTAACAAATTGGCTGTCTTGATTATAGGAATATGTCTGAAAGACCAGTTAAAATAAGACGTTTTATGCATCTCAAATGTTTGAAAAATTTGGTTAATAGAGATGCACCAACTGCAATTTTAATTTTTTTCTTCAAGTCTGACCTGTCAATTCTGATTTTTTTTCCTAAGAACTGCAACTGACAGCATACACAGACATTTAGAACTTTTATTTTACAACTTTTCATTAAACACGGTATTAAAGTTTTCCATCATTCTTTCAAATGTATTTATTGTTTTAAAACAAACCTCCAGCTAAAAATGAAGTGCAATGTTTGTACTTCAAGTGTAAACCTGAGCAACAGGTAATAGACTCAGAAAAATGTCTGTTACATCAGTCCTACTGAACACAGTTCTTTTTGAAGTGTAGCGCAGATTTTGCTGTGGTTTACCATTGGTTGGATATACTGTACATACACATGCATTTCACGTGTAGCCAGTATTTCCTCATTGTGTACCATTTGTTGGACATTGACAGTTTTTTCCTTCTCCAAGAGGTTTCTGTAGACTCCACCAAACACTAGGGGTGGGAATCTTTGTCAAACTTGCGAATCTATATCTATATGATTTCTATCCTGTGCCCACTGAGCTGCTAATGAAGCGTAGCAAACAGTTAAGCTAACTGATTCTAATGAGCATCAATACCAAGTATTTCAAATACCGAGCAGTACAGTATGTAAAGTACTTGAAATTATAAGTATACAGGGTTACTGAAATTAGCTCCACCTTCACCAGCTGCAGCACCACAATAACAGGAAAACAACAAAGCAGAGTGTTCATCTGCGTTGTTATTAACACCACATCTGCAGCAGTGGAGAACAGCATCTGTGCTACAGCGTTACTACAGGAGAAAGCCTGTGGGATCTAAAACGGGCACAGATCTGTAGAAACGAGGTCTTTTCTTTGTCCTACTAGTTGATCAAGTGCTGTGAATGGATATATACTGTGAAAATACACACACACACACACACACACACACACACACACACACAGAAGATGGTATGCACTGCACACACACTACGTGAACTTCTGTGAAAAATTCTACCAGCACAGAATAGAATATCTCAAGAGTGATCAGCCAGTCACCAGTCAAGGCTGATCACACTGAAAACTGGCAATTTCTGATCTCCGCTGATAGTTTTTACAAATCTATGGACAACTTTTTGATTGATGTAGAATATAAATGATTGTTTTGGAAATAAACATGACTTATAAGCTGATTTTACAGTATATACACCAAGACAACTAGCTGTGATCAGTACAATACAGAAAAATATTAGGGTTTTGTTTTCTTGTGGATACTCAGTTCCAAGATCTAAATCTAAACTTTGATGTGCAATTAGAGTTCCTTTGTTAAAGCGCTTAACAAAGTAGTAGTATAAAGTTGTGACAGTGATCATCTTCAAAGTTAAATAAAAGATGAGTCAAACACTTGCATCAGATTCAGAGCTGTCCAGCTCATCCAGTGCGGGCGCTTTGAGCAGCTTCTTCTGGTTTAGCGGCTGCACTCCACCTTGACTGGATTCTGTGGCGTCACTGGCCAGAGACTGGGTGCTGACAGCCAGCTTCCTGGGTGCATCAGGACTGTCTGTTGGTCAAAGAACAATCACGAAGAGGAGAGGATAACAGCTTCTGACAAACTGAATACGATTTCAGTTTTAAATCATGCTGTATTACAGGTGAAGCATGGGTCATCATGGACTGTCTCCTTAACTTAACAGCTGGCTTCCTGTGCAAACCGAGTGTCTTGATAGCACAGAGTCAGTGCAGGCACACACTGGCTGGGAGAGGTCAGAACTAACCATATGCTACTTTCACAGTTTTCCTGTTCAGTCATTTAACACAATAGACTTACAACCCTTAAATATTTCCTACCAAAAATAACAATCACACCACTAATGCTGGCTTTACGTAATGAGTAATTTACCTGCACCTACGAACAAGTCCTGAGGGGTGCTGATGCTTTTCCCTGCACCTGTAAAGCAATTGAGAAAATACAATAAGTAAAACTACACACAATATTTTCATCCTCAACACCAGACTGGCATCACGAGGGGGTACATGACAGCCACAAGCATCTGTCAGACTAGGTATGAACCGGGGGCTACACTCACACGTAGCTGCAAAGCACAGAGGGAAAAATAAGTGAAGGAACGTGCCAGGGAAGCAGAGCGCAGAAGGTTATTCCTGTACATCCATCTGGATTATGGTCGTCCTGTGAACTGTAGTGCTACATACAGACCGTCATCTGCCATTCTGATGTCGGCCTCAGACACTAGGGTTATGTCATTTTTCTCATCCCTCAGTGAGAGCGGATTATGGTGACAAGCAGGGCGGACTGGCAGCAAAGAGAGTGATCACTGATAATTTCAACCCACTGGTGCTGGTTCGATGGCCGTCACTGCTCACAGATCACTGATAATCACTGTGAGTAGCTACTATATCCATGGTACTTTACACTGTCAGATTTGCCTCTTTTCCTAATATACAGTATATACAGTGGTGTGAAAAAGTGTTTGCCCCCTTACTGATTTCTCATCTTTTTGCATGTTTGTCACACTGTAATGTTTCAGATCGTCAAACAAATTTATATATTAGTCAAAGATAACACAAGTAAACACATCATGCAGTTTTTAAATGAAGGTTTTTATTATTAAGGGAAAACAAAATCCAAAACTATATAGCCCTGTGTGAACAAGTGTTTGCCCCCCTGTCAAAACACTGGTTTATCGCACCTGAGTTCAATTTCTCTAGCCACACCCAGGCCTGATTACTGCCACACCTGTTCGCAATCAAGAAATCACTTAAATAGGACCTGCCTGACAAAGTGAAGTAGACCAAAAGATCCTCAAAAGCTAGACATCATGCCAAGATCCAAAGAAATTCAAAAACAAATGAGAAAGAGAATAATGGAGCTCTATCAGTCCGGAAAAGGTTATAAAGCCATCCCTAAAGCTTTGGGACTGCAGCGAACCACAGTGAGAGCCATTATCCACAAATGGCGAAAACATGGAACAGTGGAGAACCTTCCCAGGAGTGGCCGGCCGACCAAAATTACCCCAAGAGCACAGCGACAACTCATCCAAGAGGTCACAAAAGACCCCACAACAACATCCAAAGAACTGCAGGCCTCACTTGCCTCAGTTAAGGTGAGTGTTCATGACTCCACCATAAGAAAGAGACTGGGCAAAAATGGTTTGCATGGCAGAGTTCCAAGACGAAAACCACTGCTGAGCAAAAAGAACATAAAGGCTCGTCTCAGTTTTGCCAGAAAACATCTTGATGATCCCCAAGACTTTTGGGATAATACTCTGTGGACAGACGAGACAAAAGTTGAACTTTTTGGAAGGTGTGTGTCCCATTATGTGTGGCGTAAAAGTAACACCGCATTTCAGAAAAAGAACATCATACCAACAGTAAAATATGGTGGTGGTAGTGTGATGGTCTGGGGCTGTTTTGCTGCTTCAGGCCCTGCTGCAGTCCCCAAGCTTTAGAAATGGCTTTATAACCTTTTCCGGACTGATAGAGCTCCATTATTCTCTTTCTCATTTGTTTTTGAATTTCTTTGGATCTCGGCATGATGTCTAGCTTTTGAGGATCTTTTGGTCTACTTCACTTTGTCAGGCAGGTCCTATTTAAGTGATTTCTTGATTGCGAACAGGTGTGGCAAGAGAAATTGAACTCAGGTGCGATAAACCAGTGTTTTGACAGGGGGGCAAACACTTGTTCACACAGGGATCTATAGTTTTGGATTTTGTTTTCCCTTAATAATAAAAACCTTCATTTAAAAACTGCATGATGTGTTTACTTGTGTTATCTTTGACTAATATATAAATTTGTTTGACGATCTGAAACATTACAGTGTGACAAACATGCAAAAAGATAAGAAATCAGTAAGGGGGCAAACACTTTTTCACACCACTGTACCTGCCAAGTCCTAATATTACTTTACAAAAGTGAGTAAACATCAAGGTAATACATACTTTCTACAACACAAGCCTAAAAATAAACAAGGCAAGTGTGTGTGTAATTTAGGGAGAAGCAAGTGCCAATTGTAAAAATAGTCTGGAATGACAAGGAGCAACGACTGGAATACCATAGGTGATATTTGACTTTACCTGATGAGTCAAAACTGTAAGACATGCTAAGAGGTCGCATGACTGACAGATATGCCCATGTTTGAGGAGAAAAAAAGGGAATGGAGGTAAATAGGAGAAAAGCAGAGTTAGAATGGAAGGTGAAGTCAGTGCGTCGTCCAAGTTTACAAAAAGACAGTTAATGATCTGAATATAAAGTCCATATTATTGTCAGAACCATTTCAGAGAACCTGTACACTCCCCTTATGTATGACTATGCAATAAATACTGCATGTTATCCTCCAAAGGCCCCTAATAAAAAGTGTCATATGTGCACTGTATGGTACATAAATATTAGTTTTTAGTCGATTAAAGCCTTTAATGGCGTAAAACATTATAATTAGCCAATTATATGCCCTATGCACTGCTCACTCTTCTAAAGAAAAGCACAAAAGGCAGCATTACATACTGGAATTCTATAAAAAGAATTGTCAGTAGAGAACATTTGCCATTAACCACCACAGCTACTTCAACAGTACAGGTTTAGCAAACAACTCAGCAAGTGATCCTTGTTCAAACACTATGACACACTGTTTAAGTGAACAGATAAATATAGGAAGAGAGCTGTTAAAGTAATCATGATGGGTGCAGTTCAGAATGGTTAAGTAATGCTTAATGGCTTGTGTCCTGAGTGGAGGGGTTGGGCCCGTAAGGTGCAGCCATGCAGTCAGATGGGAGCCATACCCGATAAGATTAGTAACAACCAAGGTATTTCTTCTGATACAACAAAAGGGTTTTCTTTGATTGTATGAGCCAATCAGTTCTGCTAGTTATGTCCAGTAGCAGTAGAGTGTAGCTCAGTCTTTAAAAAAAAAAAAACAAAAAAAAAAAAAAATTGCACATGTACACTAGATAAACATCATGTCTGTGTCGGTATCTCACCCAGACGCTTTCTGCGGACCACCTCCGGTGAGACCGGCCTGAGCTTCCTTTCACTTCTGATGCCCTCCAGCAGTCGCTCGTGTAGGCTCTGAGGTCGTGGAGGGTGGGGTTTCAGTTTACGGGCAGAGCCCTGCCATGACAATCACTGGAGTGAGCACTCAACTGCCATCAACTTGGCCAAGTAATACTTTCCCCTTACAGTTTCCCCCAAAACAGAGTAGGTTTTATAACTCTATTAAGCCTTGTAACTAGGGGTGCACCGAAATTTCGGCCACCGAAAATTTTCGGCCGAAAAGGCAATTTTTATTTTGGGCCGGAATAAAAATAAATAAATAAATAAAAAAAATAAATAAACACCTCGCTGAAAATGCCCCGCCCCGCCCATCATATCCTCGCGCAGCACAGGTTAGGTTTCACTCACGCTGGAGCTGTTATATCACGCGGCATAGTTGCATTAAAATTTGTGTAGCACTGCTAGCTACCTAGGCTATGTTGTTTACAGTTTGTTTGGAAGTTCTATTGCTGTTTTTGCACCGTTTTGCACAGCAATTTAAAATGATTGAGTGTTACATAAAACTTTAATATTATTTGATGTAGACAGTTCTGCTATCATTACGGAAGAAGTCAGTCAATGGAGCTCTCTCAGCGCAGTGCTCTTTACCTCTGGAGGCGGACACTGATGAAAAACACGACCAGGCGAAGTTTTTAAAAGAAGCCATTTTCGGTTTCGTTTCGGTTTTCGGCCAAATGCATCCTAAAGTTTCGGTTTCGTTTCGGTTTTTTGCCCAATGCATCCTAAAGTTTCGGTTTCGGCCCAGAATTGTCATTTCGGTGCATCACTACTTGTAACTATTCTGTTCAAAACTTTATCACTCCTGTAACAAAACTACCAAGTGGTGATTGATATGTGTCATTATATTACTAATCATTCACAGCAACTCATTCAGTATCTGTGTATACCAGTGCACCAATACTGTGTAAAAACTGACAATATTGATGGCACAAAATTTTTTCCACAGTGTTTACATCTGAAGGATGATGCATGCAGTTATTCTCAAATGTTTCCAGAATGAATTTGTGCTCTGAGGGAAATACGAGATCTCAGTACTGTATACTGAATAACGTTCAGCTTCAAAGCCTAGTTTCACACGGTGATTAGATAGCTTAGCATTGCCCCGGTGGAGGAAATATGTTCTGTCTCTGTATCCACTGGAACTGTGCTGTGTACTACTCACTGGGTTGAGAGGAGGTCGTGACCTGATAAATTCAAGAATGATCTCATGGGCACTCTTCTTTAACCTTGGTGGGATGTTGCCATTCACCTGTAATTACATTGTTAACCAGTCCTGTCAAATTTGATTTTTATTTGAATGCAGTAAACAAGCATAACAAAAAATAATTTCATTGTAATAGTTTGGTGTTGACAGATGCATAAATAAGGACAGCTAGAGCCCCACCATGACCTTTCGCAGCTTGTAACGTTTAAAGCGGATGTCGTCCATTAGCATTTCATAGGGTGTGAGCTGGTATTCAGTGGGTAGTGGGTTGTACTGATGCTCTTGAACCTTCTTCAACTTTACACCAGTTCGTAGA